CTGCCACAGATCGCCGTGGCTAAAAAGTATACTGAAATCTGGTATACTTTTTAGCCACAGACTGCTGTGGCTGAAAAGTATGTTGAAATCTTATATACTTTTTAGCCACAGACCGCCGTGGCTAAAAGTATAGTGAAATCTGAAATACTTTTTCTGCCACAGACCGCCGTGGCTAAAAAGTATACTGAAATCTGGTATACTTTTTAGCCTCAGCAGTCTGTGGCTAAAAAGTATACTGAAATCTGATATACTAGTTTTTAGGTGTAAAATGGGAACTGGGATTGATCTATATTTAGACTGGGAAAATGGGATTTGGGTTGCTGGGACTGGGATTTGGCCACTGGGAATGGGAAATGAAGTCCTCAAAAATGGGAATGGGATTGAGGTAATGCGAGTCGATTCCCAATTTTTCTGCGTTTTGATCATTTTAAAATGCAATTTTGATCCGTTTTTGGTGTCTTTGGTCATGATTTTTGTTGTTAGCTATATTATTCACAGCACTGCCTGCGAACAGGCATACTCTGGCGCCCGGAATTCTGGGTTTTCTGATTATGCGTGTCTCAGAATTCTGCAAATGCCATTTCCGGGATTCAAATTTAAAAATTTTCCGTGCCTTCGGCACGAGCCTCCCACTAATATTTCATAAAGTGTCCACCACTTGCTTAAAAGGTCTTAAAACTGTTTATTCTACCGATAAATAAAGGATTTTCTATTGACTTGGATTTCAATAACTGGGACTGGGATTTCTAATAAAAAATCCAACTGGGACTGGGATTTTGCCAAAATTTCAGGTGGGAAATGGGATTGGGACCCCCCCTTCAGGACCCTCTCAATTGTTTGTGATGAGCACGGAATTTGTCGCACAGAATGTGATAGTCCTCTACCCAGACTTTGTCTTGAAAATACTTAATAGGTGCACGTCTAAATCATTCATGTATAACGTGTTTCACGGTTGTGAATACTGGAACTGGTAGAGAATTTTGTAGAGATATCCTAGTGCCACATCATTAACCATTTGAACAAGTCTCTAATCTCTATAACGTAAATGGTCTTTTACAGGAAGTCACTACAGTTCTTGTAAATGAGGAGTGATATGATTTCTATACATGACTTCAGTTGGCGCAACACTTTTGAAATATTAATAACAGTTATTTTTGTGAAATATGGAACGAACGTATGTCAGTAATCGATATACCGATACCGCTGTTTTAATTTTGGTACCGCTATGCGCTGGTATCAATTTCATGTTTCATGTGTAACCTTGAGTGTTTGACATTTGTTCGAATTGCTCCACACCACAGAGTAAATACCATACAGATGTCTCATTTCTTATTAATTTCAGCGTAAGGGTTTCTGCCAGCCCGTCATTAGCAAGTGTCCCAAAGAGAGGCCCCTTGAAAACATATTGAAATCAGAGATTGAAAATTAATGTTCCACGGAGTTGAATCCCTCTTTTTTGGGAACTTGCTTTTTCACCGAAGTGAGACCTCTGTACGTAATTACGCTGTGCTCTGTGCTCAAGAGATTGCCACAGACATTTGTCAAATATTTGTCACTGTTTGAGTGTTGGGCTTATTCGTCTATTTAATAACGACTGTCAGTAATTAAAGCCAGTAAAGCGAAATTTCTGGCTTTTAATCCACTCTAGAAGTTTGTGGCAAAATGTTGTTAGAAGGTTTGTTCATTTGTGGTCAAAACGAAGCAATTCCATTAAAACGTCTTTCCGTACGAGCATTTCTGCAGGGCTATGTAGTAGGATTTCGCTCGACCTTGACCTACGCAACAACACCTCTAATCCACTCGAAGTATTTTTCCGTACGCCCGTCGACGATTCTTACGCCGTCGTTGGTTTAGAAGCCTGCATCGATGGCAGAAAGATCCGAGCAGAGATCCAGGAAAAGAAAAAAGCGTGGCAGATGTACAAGGAAGCTTTATCAAGAGGCCGTACAGCCGCTTTTGGGGAGGAAAAAAAGGGTGATATATTTAGTTTGGTTCTGGGTAATCTCCCCCCGGGCGAGAAAGCTGTGATACAACTCACGATGGTCGGCGAGCTGGCTGTTGAACCCGATGGAGCAGTACGGTTTGTTCTACCAACGGTGCTAAAACACCGGTACACACCTCCTGGAAGTACAGATCCCCTAGCGCCAGAAAATCCTACTTCAGGAAGTGGCCCAGTACACCACGCTACAGGACCACCAGAATATAAATTCGACATGGTGATCAATGGAGCTTCTGGTATTGCAAACGTGACATCGCCATCCCACGAGATTCATGTTGAAAATACTGATCAGAATATTAATGTATCATTGGCTGAAGATAAACAAACAGATATAGTCATTCTGGTTCAACCAAAGGAAGCTCATAAACCTTTGGTAATCGTTGAACCTGGTTTGTCAAATGGTGAAAATGATTTCCAGAAAAACACAGTCGTCATGGTCAGCTTCTTCCCAGAATTCAAAGGTGACACCTCATGTCTCCAAGCTGCATGCGAATTTGTGTTTGTTATCGATCGCAGTGCCAGCATGGATGGTTCTTACATCCAAGACGCATCCCAAACACTTGTGCTGTTCCTAAAAAGTATTCCCGAAGGTTGTTATTTCAATGTGATTGGTTTTGGAAGCAGTTATGTACATCTGTTTCCGGAGAGTGTGGCCTACAATCAGAAAAATTTGGACGTTGCGGTAAAACACGCAGAAACCTGGAAGCGGACCTTGGCGGCACGAAACTATTTGACCCTCTCAAGGACATCTTTAGCCATGCGCCAACGAAAGGCTTGCCGAGACAAGTATTTGTTCTCACTGACGGAAGTGTTAGTAATACAATATCTGTGATTAATTTGGTTGCAAAGAATTCCAATAACTCCAGGTTTGTCTATGTTTCCTTAGTAAAGTACCCTGGGTACCAGAGTCTCTTGTGGTAAAAGTGCCCCCTCTCGGCGGCCCTGTCCATAACAAGAGGCTCTGGTACCCAGGGAACTAAATGGGTAATGTGTAAAAACCTCTGTGTTGCGTCGTGCCATACTTTATTATTTTACTCTGTCTAATATATACCAGACAATTTTATTCATCAAGGGGCGAGTGCTGGTGCTTAGTGGGTCATTTAATTAAGATATCAGTTAATTTACGAACCACTGATAATTTATATTTTTTGAGGCACTTTTTAAAGGTGATCTACAGTCCGATCTGCGCATGTGCACAAATGAGCCCACTTTTTATGATACAAACAGTTTAACTATGTTTTGAGTTCTTGAAAAGCCTGATTGTTGTTTCTTGATCATTTATTATACTTTAGAGGCTTGAAAATATAAATAGTTGTCGAATAAAGCTCAATATTTTGGACACAAAAATGTATACAAAGGCTTTGTTTATATACGGACTGTAGATCACCTTTAAGTTAATTTTTAAAAATTGCTGTGGAACCTTTGCATTTGGCTATAAAATTCTTTTTCATATTAATCTGACACAGCAATTGACCAACGAAAAATTTGTTGGCTCGAGCGGGATTTGAACTCGCATCTTCGGGTATCTAGACCGCCGCTCTACCTATTGAGCTATCGAGTAAACAGGGATTGTTAGCGAGTGTGCACGAAATTATGTGCACACTCGCTACCAAAAGTGCACGAAATATTTTCGTGACGACTTAACGCTTAGAGGACGCACAGTGTTTCCTCTAACACAAGCGTTAGTCGTCACGAAAATATTTCGTGCACTTAAATTGGATAACACTCGCTACCAATCCCTGTTGACTCGATAGCTCAATAGGTAGAGCGGCTGTCCAGATACCCGAAGATGCGAGTTCAAATCCCGCTCGAGCCAACGAATTTTTCGTTGCTCGATTGCAGTGTCAGATTGATATGAAACTAGTTTTTCGTATCTCTGAGGGTGGTTCTGAAATATAAAATTCTTATCAGTTGAAAGTAATTACTTCGATAAAAAAACGGTTTTCGAAAAGTTTGCCATTGGTTGAGGCAAAAATTTTTACGGTTGTTTTTTGACCCTATCATATGATTGCGTGTGGTTCTCCCTTTACAAGTTTTAAAATTTTTGTTTTAAAAACATGTTTTTATCAGTTGAATGTAATTTTTTCTGTGTTGTTGTTGCGAATATGATGTTTGTGATGTTACTCTGAGTGTACAAGCTTGAAAATAATGCCTGGCAACGGTGGGAATCGAACCTACGACCTTTGGAATATTAGCCCGATGCTCTGCCAACTGAGCTACGCGGTCAGGTCGCTGGGTTCGAGTATGTGATATTTCGGAACTGAGTCTATAGTTCCTAGTCGATATCAATAATTGCTTTTGTTTTGTAATTCTTTTTGCCATATGTTTTTGCTTTTCTGTACTACTGTATATTTAACTATTTAAGTTGTTTTCTTCCTAACACATCTGTCTATATAGCGGCAGCAATTTCCTTGGGTAGCGATTTCCTTAATAATTTTCTTAATTTATTTTTCCCAAAGGTGTTTCTCATTTGGTATTGGTTCTGGAGCCTCGTCAACTCTTGTGAAAGGAATTGCAGAGGCCGGCAAAGGTACTGCAGAGTTTATTACCTCAGGAGAGAGGATGCAAGCTAAGGTAACATTGGCTAAAAATAACAGACTTGTTACATTTCCGTCCTGTTTTAGTTTTTTTGTCCATTTCTGAACTAGAAAGGGGCAAAAAATGGCAAAACGTAAACTTTATGTTTTTGTCTAATTTGCTCATTTTCACAAGCGAGTAAAATGGACGAACATTGAAGGGGTTTTATAGCCTTTACTTTTTGTTTTTGCCCGTTTTTCAAAAATGAAAAAAGTGGCTGAAAATGGACGAAAAGGTGAGGGGTTAGCCCAATTTAACCCTTTTTTTACTTTTTCTTGAATTTTCGCCATTCTTTGAAAAACTCAGGAAGTGAATGGTAATGGTTAGATATCGTTTGGGCCATTGGCCTTTCTTAAGCTTTACTTTTCAAAATAACAAAACGTGGTTAAAAATGGCGGAATGGTTAACTCCTGAACTTTCGTGCAAACAATATAAAGGCTAACACCCTCTCTGGCCAAAGGCTGAACGCGGTAAAAATGGCCAAAAGATAACCGCCTTCACTTTTGAAGCCAGACTTACGGGGTTACTGTAGTCAACTATACTTACTGTCTGTCTTTGTCTGAATAACATAATAATGTATTAACAGGTGATACGATCATTAAAGAAAGCCATGCAGCCAGCAGTTACCAACACCAAAGTCTCTTACACAGTTCCTGATGGTGTGACAGTCACTGCTGTACCAAAAAGTTCTCTGCCAGCAATATTTATCGGAGAACGTTTGATCGTCTACGCCATCCTTCATCAAAGCTCGCCGCCTACTGAGGTACAAGAAGGATCGATATGCCTGAGCGGAGATTTACTCGGGGCGAAAGTTGAACACAACATGAAGTTTCAAGTTCCAGCTGCCGTAACGAAAGAGCACATGTTGCAAGTCTCGACCATTCATCATCTTGCGGCCAAAAAGTTGATCAAAGAAATGGAATTGGATCTCGGGAGTGGTCGGACGAACTCATACATAATCCAGCTCAGTTGTGATGCGAATGTCATATCTTCCCAAACAGCATTTATCGCCATTGATGAAAAACGGAAGGAGGCGGTGAAAGGAAACTTGGAAACTTGGGATATTCTGCCGGATGACGAGTTGTGTTCGAGTGGTTTTCCGTTTACTGGGCGTATAAGGTCAAAAAAGAGTGGTGGTGGTGGTGTTTGTTCTGTAGGGGCGAGTGCGCCTCGTTCAAAAAAGAAATTGTCTGGATCTCCTATGCTGACCAGAGCTAAACATTCTAGAACAGCAAAGTCTCCCGCAAGTGCGCCATTAGCCAGTGAAAGCTACCTGCAACCTCAATTCCGTTTTATTCAAACATATGGTGAAGACCAAGACATCTCGGGTGTTCCATGCCGGGCTCATTATCCAGTGTTTGGTGGAGGATGTGATGAACTTCCGTATGTATCACTATGTGAAGATGAAAATATCCCTACTAAAGAATCGACTTCAACGAGTCCGCTTACAAGTATCATCAACCTTCAACTGGCCAGCGGAGCTTGGAAAATGTCCGCAGAGATGACAGGTGTGATGGCTAAATCCACGGCAGAGATTAAAAACGCGTGTCCAGTGCGTTGCGACGGTGATATGGAAACAATTTGGGCGACGGTGATTGTCTTAATGTATCTGCAAATTCGACAGACAAATTTCAGAGATGAATGGGAGTTGATTGCTGGAAAGGCTCAAACATGGCTGGCAAAACAGAATCTTCCCGAAGGATGTTCCATTCAAGTTTTACGAGAAAAAGCAATGGCATTTCTCTCTTGACTTTATTTAACATTACTGTTGAGTGTTGCTACTGAAACGATCAAATATATATATTAAACATAAATATAATAAAACATAGACATAATAAAACATAAACATAGTAACAACAAAAGGGGAACAAAAAGGGGCACAAAAATAATATAAACATTATATTAAACATAAACATTATATTAAACATAAACATTACATTAAACATAAACATTATATTACTTTTGTATAATATAACCACTCGGCACAATAATTGTTTTAGTATTTTGACACAAGTCTTCAGTTGTGTTTATTGGGATTGAATTTATTTTAGTTTTGCTGATTTCTTTATCAGCAACTTCCACAAAACGGCTAATAACCGCCATTTTGAAAATGTCGGTTGTTATATTCACTTGTGCAAAAATACTAAAACCATTTGTTATATATCAGCTCGATCTCTTCCGAAAATTAAGGCTATTTCTTAATTGTACAAAGCGTTCAAATTAAGACATTGCCTTAATTTTAAACATAACCCCAACCCTAACCCCTAACCCCCC